CAGCAAAAACTTCAGGATATTTACTGTGTGTTGTTCATGTGTTTGAATATCATTATGCTAATTTAATTAAACATATTAGATGTTTTAAGGGGAAATGCATCATTATGTCATCTGCTTGCAGCCACAAGTTGAAGATGGGGGTTAAACTGAAAGCAGACTACGGTGCAGTGTTACACCTGCCCATCCTGAGGGAAGGGAAAGACAGAGACTCACACCTTTCGGGCAGCATGGAAGGCCACCAGAACTACACTCAGCCAGGTGAGGATGAAAGTGTCACTGCATGTCAGAGTCACTCTTAAGTGTGCCAACAATTTATTATTAACAAATATGTGGAAATGTAGATTTTTATTAGTTATGTTTTGTTGTCAAAAAGCTCAGTTTGTCTTTAAATTTAGCTTTTCTTTGTTATTCTGAAACCTTTTATTTCAAAACGACATGATTTAAAGACATTTTGGGAATATTATTTATGTTTTAGGTGAGGACCCAGAATACCTGATCACTGGGACACATGCCTACCCGTCTGGACCAGGTAAATACTCTCAATTTGTGACTTTTTAATTTAATTTCATCATCCCAATTGGACGGTTTATAACCAGTATTTTTTATTCGCCAGGGGTGGCATTGACCGCTGACACAAAGATGCACAGGAATCCCAGTGACACTGGAGTACACTCCATGGCATTAGTGTTACCCCCATCGCAAGCTAGGTAAACTTTGGCCCTCACACACACAAACACAGTACAAAGAGAGTCAGTCACCAGCAGTAATTTAGCATAAAAGCACTAATAACAAAATGATGCTTACTCACACATAAACCATCATTTACTCTGTGGGTCATTTGTAGGCAGGACGCGAGTCGCACAGCAGCCAGTATTGCTGACATCCACCGGCATGCAGGAGGAGCAGAGCGATCTCACCCTCCGTCATCTGCAGTGGTAGGTCACAGTTTATTCCTACTTTTACTCAGCCTAATCGGTTTGAAAGAAAGAAGTGCAAAACTGATCATCCGTGTGTTTTCAGTCGCTCCTGGAGGGAGGTGGGACCAGAAATTCTGCCCTCATGAGGAGAGCGCCCACAATGCCCAAACCTCAGTGGCATCCGCCATGGAAACTGTTTCGGGTAACTATAAATCATTTCAACATTTCTAAGTTTAAGCTTTACTCGACACGATACAGTGGGCAAGGTCTGGATTCTGTGTTTTGTTTAACTGTAGTTTGTTTTGTCTGGTAGGTCATCAGCGGCCACCTTGGCTGGGTGAGGTCCATCGCTGTAGAGCCTGGGAATCAGTGGTTTGTCACAGGCTCTGCTGATAGGACTATAAAGGTGAGTCAAGCAGGAAATAACAGTAAGCGACAAACTAAGAATGGCTCATCTGACATGGACTGACTAAATTAGCTCTCCTCCGAGTCGTCTCTCCTCGGGATCGTTACCTTTGTTTGTTTTATAGATTGTGTTTTCTGTAG